GGAGGCCCTGTGCTTGTGCGTGTTTCCTCTGGGTGCTCTGGTTTCCTCCCACACTCCAAAGACATGCTGGGAGGTAATTGGCTCCGGTCTATATCAGCCCTGTATGTATGCGTGTGCAATAGGGACCTTAGATTGTAAGCTCCTCGAGGGCAGGGACTGATGTGAATGTGAAACCATGTTAATTGTCAGCGCTAGATAAACACCAATCTCCTGATATTCATGCTTGTTCTGAATCTGGAACTCGGAAAGTAATGAAGCTTCGGGATCAGCATGACAGCCCAGCAACTCTCAGAAGGAGAGGTCAGCAGTAACAGCAAGCCCACATTACAGGCCCATTCATACTGTTGCGTTGTGGTAATGCACGTTCCTTGCGTTGATGCAATGCGGTTTAATTCACACTGAATGGCACCCCAATGCACCTTGCTGACGGACCTGCGTTGCGGTATAGCAGGACCTTTTGTGATGCATTAGGCAGCCCAAGCAAACAAATGCATTGCTGTAACACAGCGCAGGTCACGGAATAATGCGTCTTAACACATGGCAATGGTGTGAATGGGCCCTGATAGTTTAAGATTCTTGCAGGAACACAACTGCGACTAGTTCACTCTTTTCTGCAAGCGGGTCGTCTTCTCCTTGAAGGCTTGACCTGAAAATAGACTATATAGATGAAGAGCGTCCCCGGGTATTCCAGATCTTTGTGTCTTCAGTAATAATGTGGAGCAGCGTTGTAATTGAGCGGGGGGGGGCGGGGGGTCTGTCATAGTGTCACCTCTATGTGAAGGTCACATGTCTATTAGAAAATGGGAATGTTTGTTGCCTCCTCCTGTCACATGACCCCCTAGAAGGGAGTGCAGGGAGTTTCTGCTTGTCCAGGTAAATATTGCATTGTTTGTACACAGTGTGGAATAATGGCGCTTGGCATGATTTCTCTAACCCGCAGGATGCCAGTAACCCCTCTGATTTGTCTCCATACATTGCATATCTGTCCACTCACGCTTGTTTCTGCTCTCTCCCTGCATGCTTCCTGGATCCGCAGAAGAGTTTAGCGGTGACGGTAATACCTGTGCTCTCATGCTTCCTTCTCTTTTGTAGTTTGTTGTACTAATATTCATTCCCACATGATTAGTCTTCTGTTTTAACTGCTTCCTGCCCACAGTCTGTAGATTTGCATTGCACAGTCTGATTCCCCCATGCTAAGGGAACATTCTGTTATGGAACTAGGAAGGGTGCATCTGTGTGCGCTCCTAGTTCCAATATTGCTCTGTCACCGATAGCCCTGGTTTCACACTATTGGCAACTGTGCTGATTGATTGGTTCCCCATCATGTGATCGCCATGACCGCCAATCATGGTGATCGCATGAGTTTGCTATGTTTGGGGGACCTACCGCAATCCTGAGAATTTCCTTCAATGTTAATCATGTTTACCAGTCAAATTCACTAATTTTACTGTTCAATGTTCAGTTTTCTAATTAAATATTTATAAAGGGTGATTGCCGGTATTTTGGAAGGGGCAGTACATAAAAGAGCACCTGTCACCTACAAGCCACAGAAGCAGCATTGCAAAAGCAGCTAGATCATTTATAACATCAAAGAAACATGAGAACACCCCAAAGTGTCTAATGAATGGACAGCGGCAGGTTTTCAGGTTGTAGTTTGTCTTCCACGGGTTAGAAGTGACAGGTGCCCTTGAAATTCCACACCTATGCTGCAATAGGCCAGCATGTCAATTGTCACGCTCTCCCCACATGTGGAATTTTCCACATCTCTCTTATATCTACTGTAATGGATTCGATTTATATCAAATTAAGGTTTTATTCCCTCACCGCTTCTAGGACAACTGAAATCATTCCTGCCGTGAGTGTGGGGGTGTAAGATACAATTTGATACATCTTATACTCCAGACACCTCACAGCGTGTATTCATACACAAGAATAGTCACCTTGTATATCAATTACCGCCAGACGGGTTTTCAAAGTAGAAAACATTCTATTTACATCAATTACATTTATAGTGACACCAAACTCCGGAGTTAAAGGAGAACTATGAGGTGGGTGCTTTTCACTCACCTCATAGTTCTAGCCGACCTGTGACAATGAGACTGTCACAGGTCGGCTCAGTAGATTGGGAGGTGAGCGAACACATACCGGCGTTCGCTCACCTCTCGATCCTGTCACGGCTCTCTGCCGTGACAGCGGAGGGGCTGGATTCCCCCCTCCCCGCTCTGATCCTCCAGCGCTGACTGGCAGAACGGACGGGGGAGGGGGCGGGTACAGCTGGCTCTGCCTCTAGATAGGCAGAGCCAGCTGGGCGGATCCAGACATAATTGTCGGGATCCACTTCAGCTGCGGCGTCTCAGTATACCGCGAGCTATTGCGGCGTCTCAGTATACCGCGAGCTACTGCGGCATGGCCGGTACAGCTGGCTCTGCCTCTAGATAGGCAGAGTCAGCTGTCAGTCACGCAGCTGGGCGGATCCACACCTAATTGTCGGGATCCGCTCCGGCTGTGGCGTCTCAGTATACCGCGAGCTGTAACTCGCGGTATACTGAGCTTAGGGTGACGGGAGGACGATAGTTTGTGTCCTCCCGTTACCCTAAGGAGAACTATGGGGAAAAGCCTTAACCCCATAGTTCTCCTTTAAGCATTTTAATCACACAGACTAACAGGCCAACTCCACTTCAAATCTTAATTCATCTTTTGTGTTCTGATCATCAGGGCTTGTTATATGTCCCATAGCAATTTGTGTCTCCCATCCAGGGCTATTAGCAAGGCATCACCATTATAAGTCTCTGGCGATTGAGGTTCTATCAGTAGAAAGTCACATCATAATTTGGCTTCCTTAAATGAACCTTATAGTAGCAGTATCATTTGGCAGTAATACATTTCTGGCATATCACAATATGCAGCAACACTATAGCCTTTAAAATAAATATAAGCTGGACCTTTTATCATTAGAAATCCCTTGAGCTCCAGTCCAGTGACTACCTCGGCTCTGATGATGTCATCAGTCTGCTGCAGGCAGGAAGAAGCATTTCCTCAATCTCTCCCCCCAGTGATCAGACTGTAACATTGTAGCAGTAGGGGCTGATCTATGCACAGGCTAACTGTATCTCTTATGGACTCATGTGGCAAGTTGGCTCCACCAGAATCCCAGTTTTTAAGAACTGCCCAGGCCGCAGGATTTACATGACTGTGTCATCTCTGAGCCGGCATCTCAGTCCATGAAAAAGATGGTGACCCTGGATGATGCCTGAGCAAAGATGGCTCCGTCCTGGTGGGAAAAGCAGATGAAGACATTGTCAAGGGGAGTCCTGTGATCTCTGTGAGAGGCAATAAAGACTACACTGATACATTAAATCTTAAAAATATGTCAGTATAATCAAGACTTGATTCTGTTGGATTCCTCTTCAAATCTCCCGTCTGTCACCTCTGGGTGTCTTCTGCTGCTGTTTGGTGTTTGCGATGATGTTTTATTCTGTCGCCGCGTGTCGCTGACGGATATTTGTTCTTTTGTTGGCAGAGACTGATGACTATGCAGAGATTATAGATGAAGAGGACACTTACACCATGCCTTCCAGTAAGTACTCGTGTCCAGCTCTTTTTTCAGAAATACATCAGCAGCAAAATGCCGTCAGGGGTCGTCTGGCATTTTTATTCTTATGTGGTGAATGATATCGGCAGATTTAATGTGTCGGCAAAGCCGAATAAAAAACGATTTGAGACCCCCACGATCACTTTGTATAACATTGTGTGCCATTTCCTGTTGGTGCTGCCAGTGACCTCCTATTATTGTTAGCGATGGCAACAATCAGCAGGTTTTGCAGTGTTGCCACTGCTTGTGCACATGCTACGGATCGTTAAAACAAAACAAAAAGCCGTGTCTATAGCTCACTGTGTTCTATGGCTCAAACGGCCCTGGCGGCGGGCAGGACCAGTCTACCCTGATGTGAATTGCAATGACAGGGGGTGTAAGTGTCAATCAAACAGTCTTATCCGCCCCATCAGGTGGTGCTGCTGGTTGTGAGCGAGCCCTGGGAGGGGGTTAACGCATCGGATTGACAGTGGCTCCTCTTATCAGTGCAAGTAATGACAGGTTAGGCTGGTCCCGCCCACCACCCAGGTCAGTCGGATACGAGAAAGGGTGGTCAACTGACACCAAAGCAAATAAAGGCATTTAAAAGGATTTGTTATACGCTGCTTTTTAAATTTGGTTTGGGAGGTAAATTCCCAACCTGATGCACTTAGGTTTATGAACTGTATCTGCAAAGTACAGCCAGTACAAACATGTTGTGCCCTGTCCAATGGCAATCAGACATTGTGGCCTGAAATGTCTGTGAATCCTGAGGAAGAATTCTGCAATTTAAATGGAACCTCTCACACCCGGGCTTATGTGAGAATCTGGCTATTCCGTCTTATAATTGGGTGGCCTTCCTTATTATATTAATTAGGGATGCACCGATTCAATTTTTTCTGCATCGAGTACCAATCATTTTTCTCCGGTACTCGCCTATACCAAGTACCAATACCGGCATCCCAGGGTACCGTTGGCCTGGCCTATCCCAGGCTGACTAGCAACAAGTGAAGCTGCCTTCCTAGCCAATCAGGAAGCCGGGTGGCGGGTCATGACTTGCCACCCGGCTTCCTGGCCAGCTTCCTTGCCAATCTGGGAGGCGGTCATGACGTGCCGCACGGCTTCCTGATTGGTCAGGAAGCCAGACTGCTAGCAAAAAGTGAAGCCAGCTTCCTAGCCAATCAGGGAGGTGGGTCATGATTTGCAGCCTGACTTTCTGATAGGCCGGGAAGCCGCCTCCATGCTGACCCTCTGACCAGAAGTTGCAGTATCGGGGTAAGTTTTGGAGCATTTGGGCAAGTACCAGTATCGGTATCAGTGCATCCCTGATATTAATATTTTTATGTGCCCCCTTATATATAGATATAACTGGCAAAGTATGAGTGCCCCCGTACTATTTCTTAGTTCCACAAACGTGTTACAAGGTTGCTTGTTTATTTCTCTACATCGTATGTTCTTTTTATGTTTTGTAAAGTCCGTCTTGTTTTCTGTTCCCTCTCTAAATGCCAATCAGAAAACTATGGATTAGATGAAGGTAACGGGTCTGTGTGTACGTGGTATTTGCCTGCCTGGTGTGGAGTGTTGCCTGTCTTTTATACCCGTCTTCTCATTCTCTTTTCCCCGTCACTTTTCTCTTGTGACGGGTCCAACTCAGGGATTGTTTTTTGACAGATAATCTTTCTGCTTTGGGAAATGTGTTTATTTTATAAAGCAGGATCAAGCAATTATCGACTCGACCAATCTTGCTCTTGAATGGTCTCTTTAAATCAGACGTTGAAATAACATGCAAGGTCCACTCACATTGCCCGGCCACCCTTCGCTTTTATAAATCACCTACCGTTCTGATATAAAATGTACCTGTAAAGCAAAACGTTAGATTTGCACTTCCCTTACCCCTTCTGCATCTCTGGGTGTGACGTCAACCAGACTCTTGGGGGATGCAGAGCAGGGGGACTCTGGTGATGACACATTCCAGTCCATTGCAAGAGCTTCTCCCTGGGTCAATCTGTTTTCCCCGGGATCTAGCCGACAGGAATGTGGCAGAAGACAAGGGGAAGGTATGTCTCATCTTACTAGCTCTTTCATTCATTGAAGGACATATTGGAGATCTTTAGATCTTGAACGTTGGGTTATGTGGCCACCTAAACACAAAAGCACAGCCTGGGCTGACCCTGCTGGTGGCCGAACCCCCCCCCCCCCCCCATCTGCTAGAGGCAGTTCAGTTTTTTGCCTAGTGTCAAGGATCTAGGCCCCCATTCCCACGGGGACCTTTGGGATTCCTGCAGCATGATACTATGAATTCATGTGGCAGGAATCCCTGGTGTCCCTGTTCAGATGCGGCGGATGTATCCATTGATGTTAATGACGGGTGACAGCGGCCGTATCTGTCAGCAGCAGTCCATTTGTAATGGTACATGGTACAATTACATGCGGTTTGGAATGGATGATTGTTGCTGGATGCAGGATAAATGCGTCCAGGGCAATCATCTTTCCCAAACCGCAAGTAGTTGTACCATGTATGATTACGTGTGGACTGCCGCTGTCATTAACTTGAGTTGGTACAGTGGCCGCATCTGAATGAGGACACCCGGGATTCCTGCCACAGGAATTCATAAATTTGTGCCACAAAAGTCACCATATGAGTGTATCCTTAGGACCTAAGCTCCCTGCTGGGAATCTTTTTTGTGTACAGATACGTTTTACACCAATTAATAGGTGATTTGTAAAGAGGAGAGAGGGCCCGGGCAGTGTAAGCATACTGCAAGGTCGAATATTTATATTGAATTGTGTTGTAAAAAGAGAAATTAAAGTATTTAACAAATGCAAGCCTATCATAGTGTGTTTATGTACCTTAAAAAGCCCCAAAGGGTTGAAGGTTAGAGGGACTGACAGGTTTTTATTGCAATCCAAGTTCCTTTTCTAGGAGATTTTCCCTTGCATTTTGTCTAGACAGGAAGTGATGGAAAATCTCTCCAACAAGGAGACAAAAATAAAAACATATTTCCTTTTATTAGAGTGTTTGTTCTCCCCTGAAAACGTGTTTGTTACATGCCTTGCTTGCGGTTGATACTGTGTGATTGTGTGTGTGTGTGGTGCTGTGAACCCGCGAGAGAGGACTGCGGTGTCCGCCGATGTCTTGTGTAGATATTCATCGCCTCCTGCTCATGTGCACTTTCTCCGTTATTAAAGTTTCATCCTTTTTTTTCACCCTGATAGCGGGAGACTATGAGATCCAGCGGGATCGGATTGAGCTGGGCCGATGTATCGGCGAGGGGCAGTTTGGAGATGTACACCAAGGAGTTTACATGAGTCCGGTGAGTGGATTTCCAGTGCTTTATTGGGGGAATTTATCAAAAGTGGAGCAGACAGAATCTGGAGGAGTTGCCCATAGTAACCAAACACATTATCTCTTCAGTTAGTTCATTAAAGCTTTGAAAATGAAAGATAGAAGCTGATTGTTTGCCATGAACAGTTGCTTATCTTAATATCTTTTTACTGGGGTCTGAGCTCACATTGAATCTTAAGAAATATCATGCCCCATACATAAAGACATAGGCACAATGCAAAAAATTCAAAAGGGTGCCATCCGCTGGCCCAAAAAAGCTGCACAATTATAGGAAGAGAGAAGCGCCCATAAATTGGATAATGCAAAATGTTATTTCAAAGGCAGAGAAGCATTCCTAACAGAGGCTTCTAATGCATTCATATCACATAACAATTGCTGATGTGGCAAAATTCCCTGGGCAAATGCCATTCACACATCACTGGCAACAAAAACATTTGCTCTAGTGCGGCTGATCAATAGGTTCCCTCAGAACCCGCCGCATGTTTTACCAACGAGCCAGAGCAGCTTCACAGCTAGCGGAGTCCGGCTGTTAATCTCTTCCCAGGCGTTACAGCTCGCCTTTGGATCCACATTGGTTTCCAGCACAGACTGTGTTATGGCCAGGCTTCTGGAACCTATTGAAAACCAGTGCGTCTCCATTATTATGGCAGCAGCTTAGCTACACTGTTACAACAGGTGGGGGTGGGGGGGTCTGGGTTGGGATCATGCATCAGAGGGACCTTTTTTAGACCTTTTTTAGACCTTTTAACACCTTTGATACATGTAGGCAAATCAAGCAAGTTCGCAAATATAACTTTTTGACATTTTCTTCTCTTCTGCTGTCCTTTGGAGAGTCCAAGGGTCTTGTCAGTTCATATTTCCCTGTGTCTACCGGTGAAGCCAGTGCAGACAAAGAGCTTATCATCACTATACAGAGTTCTATGAAGGAAGGCTTTCCTTTAGGTGTGTGTGCCCTCTGGGCAAGGCCATCATAGTGGGCCAAGGATAAGCAAAGAGAATGCAATTCTAAAGGGGATGCAAGCGTTTCTTTCATGTGCCACCACTAAATCTCTGGCCTCTCCCCAGTCTATCTCCCTCTGTACAAGCTTACAGAACATTGTGCATGGAAATGATTATAGGGCAGTAACATGGCATTTATTTTTATCACAAAGGATTCACTTGCTGCTGAAAGGAAACCTGTCATCAAAGAAATTGAATTTGCCATTGCTGATCCATTTTCTGTAACAGCACCCTTCTAAAAAGAACAATGTATCAGGCAAGGGACTGAATAGATCAGAGGTAGGCAACCTCGGCACTGCAGTTGTTGTGGAACTTCAAGTCCCATGGGACATTGCAGTACTCTGACAGGCACAGGCATGACAAGTTGGGATTTGTAGCTTGTGGGCTAGTTCACACCAGCCCCAGTGCGTTCCGGACGAATTTGGTGCCGGATCACATCTCGGCTTGCTCACTGTGTTCTGTGGTAGGGCGGGCGCTGCATAGAAGTCAATGGCACCACAGCCCCTGGCCGCAGTGCGATCACCTGTACCGGAACGCATGGCAAATCAATGCCTGCCTTTTCATGCGTTCCGTTGTGGGAAAATGCTTCGCGGCTGGGGAGCATGGCTGCGATGCCATTGACTTCAATGCACCACCACACCCCCTCCCGCCCCAGAATGCAGTGAGCCGGCCAGGAAGCGTTCCACTACCGAATCTGGCCGACTCGCACTGGGGCTGCTGTGAACTAGCCCTGAGTGCTGAGGTTTCCTACCCCTGCAATAGGCTACCAGAGACTTCAAAAAATATTCCATACAGGAATTGATAACTTGTATAATCTGTGTCTGTGTAGTTTTTTTTTTTTCTTCTTTCCTCCTGAAAGTTTTGTGGACATTGTCATTCAGTGTGGTAAAGCCGATCAGACATATAAACACAAATGAATGCAGTTCTGTATTCATTAATATATCATATGAGCTAGTATCAGCCTCCAGCAATCATTTGTACGACAGAGCTCAGAATGGGAGAGAGGAAGCAGCACAAGGAGCTAGTCCGTTGTGCTGCAGTGCTCATGGTGCTAAAAAGGAACATGCTGATAGGAGAGAGCAGTGACAGAGAAATGAGCTCATCAGTCTTTTGCTTCTCCTTTAGCTGTCCAGTCACAGGCTGGGGGCGGGACAAGACCTGTAATTGTTACTTAACTGCCGAAGAAAACTCAGGTCTCCTGCCCAGCCAGACAGGACTGTGCTTTGAGGTAAATCTGTGTAATTTCAGGTCTGGAGAGACATAAAGTCCTTTGGCAGGTAAAACAACTCTCCCTTATATGTATCACATCTGTGTATTTATCTGCTTGCCTGGAGTTTAGCTTTACATAAAGGTGATTTTACACCTTGGATAAGTCTCCCCTTCCTGTATGGAATACAAACGTGATAAGTCTCCCCTTCCTGTATGGAATACAAACGTGATAAGTCTCCCCTTCCTGTATAGAATACAAACTTTAGAAGTCTCCCCTTCCTGTATGGAATACAAACTTGAGAAGTCTCCCCTTCCTGTATGGAATACAAACTTTAGAAGTCTCCCCTTCCTGTATGGAATACAAACGTGATCAGTCTCCCCTTCCTGTATGGAATACAAACGTGATAAGTCTCCCCTTCCTGTATGCAATACAAACTTGAGAAGTCTCCCCTTCCTGTATGGAATACAAACTTGAGAAGTCTCCCCTTCCTGTATAGAATACAAACTTGAGAAGTCTCCCCTTCCTGTATGGAATACAAACTTGAGAAGTCTCCCCTTCCTGTATGGAATACAAACTTTAGAAGTCTCCCCTTCCTGTATGGAATACAAACGTGATCAGTCTCCCCTTCCTGTATGGAATACAAACGTGATAAGTCTCCCCTTCCTGTATGCAATACAAACTTGAGAAGTCTCCCCTTCCTGTATGGAATACAAACTTGAGAAGTCTCCCCTTCCTGTATAGAATACAAACTTGAGAAGTCTCCCCTTCCTGTATGGAATACATACTTGAGAAGTCTCCCCTTCCTGTATGGAATACAAACGTGATAAGTCTCCCCTTCCTGTATGGAATACAAACTTGAGAAGTCTCCCCTTCCTGTATGGAATACAAACTTGAGAAGTCTCCCCTTCCTGTATAGAATACAAACTTGAGACGTCTCCCCTTCCTGTATGGAATACAGACTTGAGAAGTCTCCCCTTCCTGTATGGAATACAGACTTGAGAAGTCTCCCCTTCCTGTATGGAATACAAACTTGATAAGTCTCCCCTTCCTGTATGGAATACAAACTTGAGAAGTCTCCCCTTCCTGTATGGAATAAAAACGTGATAAGTCTCCCCTTCCTGTATGGAATAAAAACTCTTCTAAGCAGCATCTGATTGGTTCATATAAAATTGTACTCATACTGGTCTACTTTACAGGTACACCCATGCTAGACCCTTGTATGCACAAGCCAACATGGACCACGTGGCGGTAGACCGTCTCTCAGACTTTCACAGAAACATTTGGGATTATATTGATCTTTTTTTCTTTTCTTTCTGTAGGAGAATCCCGCTATGGCCGTCGCCATCAAAACCTGTAAAAACTGCACATCGGACAGCGTGCGGGAGAAGTTCTTACAAGAGGCCTGTAAGTCTTCGCTGATGGTTTTCCTTTGAACTGATCTATAAAACATGACCGCTATCAGGATGTCCCCCTGAGGACATTTCTTCTGTGTTTTCCCATAAAACACCACATTATTTTTAGAGAAGGTCGTGGTATTTAGGAGCGATTCTTCCTTCCAGCAGTTGTTTTAGGTTGATGTGATTTCATGGCATGATTTATAATATTTGTCTGGATCTGTCTGTTAGGACACCAGAGGATTACTTCCTAGATAAGGCGGCCTTCAAATGTGCCTCCCGAACTGCATCAAAGAGCCACGCATTGTGATCCGCATCTGCAATTCATTTAGAATTGATTTTATGTGCAAAGGAGGACAGCAGGAAAGCCAAAGAGCTTTTGAAGTCAGTCAGGTTCCTAAATTGAGCATTATAGTCTTAGACAAAGCACAATCATTGTGCCACATGAAGAGGCAGAGCCTGATGTATATGGCTGCCCTCATGTACACAATTGCTATACATACATAGACAAGTTTTTTAAAGCATTAGCAAAATCGATAGAAATGTTTATATCAATCTGACCTCCCCACATGGCTTTATATTCCTTATAATGGTGAAACTTTTTTTTTCATTTGCAGTAACGATGCGTCAGTTTGACCACCCGCATATTGTCAAGTTAATCGGAGTGATCACAGAAAACCCGGTGTGGATAATCATGGAGCTGTGTACGCAGGGGGAGGTAAATACTAACTTTTACAGTCTGTTTTCTTATTGCAAAAGGCTGCACGCTTTCATTAAAGCTCGAGATGCACCGATACTAGTACCAGTGCCAATGCCAAGTATTTGGGCGAGTACTCGCCCAAAAGCTCCAATACCTAGCCCGATACTTGCGCCTCCAGTATCAGGAAGCCGGGCAGCAAGTCATTACACACTGCCCGGCTGCCTGATTGGCCCTTGTCCCTCATCACAAGGGAGCATGGAGGCGGCTTCCTGGCCAATCAGGAAGCCAGGCAGTGTGTAATGCCTCGCTGCCCAGCATCCTGGTTGGTCGGGAAGCTGGCCAATCAGGAAGCCGGTCACCGTGTAATGATGCGGCATCCGGCTTTCTGATTAGCCAGGAAGCCAGCTTCATGCTCCCTCTCGACGAGGGAGCATGGAGCTGGCTTCCCAGCCAGTCAGAAAGCCGGGCGTCACATCATTACACAGCGCCCGGCTTCCTGATTGACCGGCTCCATGCTTTCTCGTCACATAGTAACGAGGAAGCATAGAGAAGGCTTCCATGCTAATCGGGAAGCCAAGTAGTGAATCTGTACATGCCACCCAGCTAATCAGGAAGCTAGGTGGTGAGTCATTAGATGCCTCCTGGCTTTCTTAATGGGACTTTCAGTATCTGTATTCGGTATCAGCGAGTACTGCAAAAAAACATCTGTACTCGATACCAGGTGCATACCTAATTAAAGCCCAATTAAATATTCTGTTTAATTCAGCCAAGTACATTCCCGGTGCATAAAAAACAGAAAGTGTTCACTGTCCTAGTTTATTTTCTTTAGAAAGCAGCCACATCCTGAAAAGAAAAGCCTGTCCCCTGCCAACATGCTGCAGAGAAGAACCCTTGATCTCTGTGGGGAAGCAGTGGTATCTCTGCAGGGGTCCAGCACACCCCTTGCTGAGTCAGAGCTATAGTACTGCAATCAGAAAATCTCATGCGCCCCTGCTGATTGGAGAGATCTAGCATTTGGAGAGAGATCTAGCCCCATGCACATTGAATGCACAAATTTTATGCATGTTCACTTAAATTGTACCTCGTGCTTGCCTTGCCATTATTGCTACTGGTACCCCAAACACTGCAAGCAAGAGAAGCATTTTTTCATGTGCAGAAACGTGCTGTCGAAAAATTGCTGAAAGCTTGCAGCTTCTTTGCCGTGTGTAGGGCGGCCCATAGAAATTAGATAGGGCGAATGGAACCTAACACAGCAGGGGGCTTGGGGAACCTTTGCAGAGAGACCACTGCCCCAGCTTTGCCCTGAAACTGCTTGTAGTTAGTCTTATAAAAGAACAAGTAATATGAATCGGGGACTGGCTCACAAAATCAAAGTAGTTGCTTTATGTATCATTTGAAGCAAACTGTTCTCCCAATCCCCCAAGACAGGGAAGGGGGCGGGCACAGCTGGCTCAGGCTTTAGAGAGGCAGAGCCAGCTGTCAATCAGGAAGTGGGCGGGATCCCAACAATATTTTCAGGAACTTTTCCACCTGCAGCATGGCTCTGCGCTGTCGGCATATAGTTGACATTAGCTCGCTATATGTTGACTTCGGGTCACAGGAGGACATTCGTGAAAAGAGAACTATGGGGTAACCTTTTTATCCCATAGTTCTCTTTAGAGTCACGGGAGGACATATACTAACCTCCTCCTGTGACCCAAAGCTCAATATATAGCGAGCTAGTTACCGAGAACGCCGCAGCCAGCACTGATCCCGACAATACTGTCGAGATCCACCCAGCTGGCTGATTGACAGCAGGCTTGGCCTATCTAGAGAAACAAAAATTGGAGACGGAAGCGCCACTAACTAGCGCAATAAATGTGGTAGAGTGGGGTGTAGGCGTAAGTGTTGTACTCACCTGAGGCTGGGTGAGTATTCGCTTGTAATCGTCGGGTGGTAGTCAAGCGGATGGGGTGGAGTGGTGGTGGTAGTAGTCCCTCTTTTTCAGGGTGGCGTGGTGTTTCGACCCAGTAGGCAAATGGGGATACAAACACGAGGGGGTGAGGTATGCAATGGTGGGTGAAAAAGGGGTGAGCTTCTGTAACTCACCGTGGAGATAGTGGAGGGCGACTCTCAACGATGACGGCGCGGCCTGTGTGGTGCCTGGGCGGTGGGCCGTGGAGTGGTCCTCGGGAGTCCTGGCATGGGTGTCCTCCGATGACAGGTGCTGTGGAGTGGTAGAGCGACGGGTGGTCCTAGATGGGGGAACTGAAGAGCGGTTGGAGGTGCCGAAATGTTCAGTCTCAGTGGCGAAGAATTCACGTTGGGGCTTTCGGGCAGCCCGACGGAGCTGTGACCTGCAGGCGTATGCTGGAGAAGCCTGTAATGCGGGTGTAGCGGCGTGAGCCGTGGGGAGCGGGTCATAGGCAGAAGTGCCGGGGGTTGGAGCCGGGTGTCGAGGAGCGAGCGGTGTCCGTGAACAGGTGGAGTGTAGGAGACACTCTGAGGACCCGTGGAGACCGGGCTGACGGCGACACGTTTCAAAGGTTAAACCTTCTTTTTCAAGCCGATGTGAGCCTATCTAGAGACAGAGCCAGCTATGCCCGCCCCCTGCCCTGTCCGTTCCTCCAGTCGCCGCTGGAGGATCGGAGGGGGGAATCCCTGCAGGGAGCCGTGACTGACAGTCACCGCTCTCTGCAGGTAGATGATCGGGAAGTGAGCGAGTGACGGTATGTGTTTGCTCACTTCCCGATCTATAGAGTCGGCCTGTGACAGTTTCTTTGTCACTCGTCGGCTCTAACTACGAGGCTGAGTGGAAATCACTCACCTCATAGTTCTCGTTTAATATACTCTTGGTATAAAAAAAGGTTTGGCCATAGTTCCCTTTTAACACTCAGATAAATCGGGCAGAATTTTTGACTTTGGCACGGTGGCAGGGTCTCCTGGTTGCCTTAATTTGCCCGTGGATGGTAATAACAGTTGATACATTTCAGTCTGAGAAACATTCCTAAAAACGATACAGATTACAATTTGTAAGCTTCTTACTCCTTAATTTTAATATTTCACATTTTTCCTTTTTTTTTAAATTACTAATCCGATTTCTTGATAAACGCGGCGTATGTATATTATGAAAGGTCTTGTTATTGCCTTAGGATCTGTGCTTCTGTGTGGGATTCCATTCGAGGGAACCTGGGAGGACACAAACATGTGAGAAAGACATGGATGACTTGATTTTAACCGTGTGGTTTCAGACCCCACCATCCTGATACTGGCTCCATTATCTGGATCAGAGGTAGGAAACCTCGACCCTGCAGCTGTGGTGCGGCTACAAGTCCCATGAGGCATTGCAAGGCTCTGACAGCCATAGGCATGACTACCAAACGCAGATGTACGCTGGGATATGTAGTTTCACCACAACTGGAGGGCCGGAGTTTGCCTACCCCTGAGCTAGAGAGTTATTGAACTGCATCTAACGTGCAGGATGAGAGTTCTGATTTTAAAGCTGCAAACATGTTCCAAGTCATTGACCCCAGTGTCGTCACATGGGGGGTGCGGAGGGTGCAGCCCGCACTCGGGTTCCACCATTGGAGGGGTGACACCAAAATGACTGGCATTCATTTTGGGGTCACCCCCTCTAAAAAGTCAGGCACTCGGTCACGGACCGAGAGCCCAACAGTGTCAGGAGAGAGGAGGGGACCCGGCAGCATACCTCATCCCGCCGGGTGAACTTCCCCTCCTCTCTCTGCCGGTGTCCATCACCAAGGAGGCCGCCAGCAGGTGTCAATTAGACGGCCGTGCATGCGCGATATCACGACGGGGTGTCACCCGCTCTCCTCTCCGGGTGTCACCCAGCCTCGGGACGCCCCTGATTAACTCACAAGGTAGTAAAGTCAGGATGAGGATGACAGCCCTTGAGCATGTCATTGGTTGCAGCTCCCATGATTCTGTCCTGACGGGTTATCTTTAATCTTACACCACTGCAAATGTTAAGGATTTTCTGGCAGTCTTGTGCTGATTCTGTTGTCTATCCACTCTCAACAGTTGCGATCGTTTTTACAAGTCCGAAAATACAACCTGGACCTGGCGTCTCTTATCCTCTACGCCTATCAGCTCAGCACAGCGCTCGCCTACCTGGAGAGCAAAAGATTTGTACATAGGTAAGAGAATATCTCATCAGTCAGTCTTGTATTCACCTCATATCAGAAATGTGAACTTTAAAGGCTGAAACAAATGTGCCTCTTTATGATGTGTTCCTGCACCCCATCTACTCAGCGGGGACCCGTGTGTTGTTGCCATCAGCTGCCTTGGATACTTTCATTCTACCCTTACCGACCTGTTCACTCATTGCATGATTACACTTCACAAAGCCATAAATGTCTCTCTCCAGCATTGTATTACAGGTATGTGTGAGATCACAGACCAGTAACTAGCAGAAACCATGAATCCCCCTTTACGTATCCAGGCTTCTGTTTTTCAGTGGTTTTGCTTTACTGTTTCTGCCACTCTCAGTAATGCCCTGTAGTAGCTACGGCTCCCCTTGCTTGACATTTTATTGTCCTACTCAGATTATCAGTTCATACGGGCTGTCTGCTTCTTTGTTGTTTTTGTGTCAGATTTGGCTTTCTGTACCCAGAGAATACTGTACCTCCAGGTACAGACTCCCAGAAGGCGAAAATGAATGTCAGTTGCACAGCGACCTCTGCTGACCGATATTTGAATTGGAAATTGGCATCAAAAAGCTTCAAGGAAAAAGGCTAAAACCACATATGTATTACTTATAATGTGTGCAGTGCTTCACATAGTGCACATCCACATCAAATCAGTCCCCGCCCCAAAGGAGCTTACAATCTAAGGTCCCTATCTCACATACAAGGGCCAATTTAGACAGGAGCCAATTAACCTTCCAGCATGTCTTTGCAGTGTAGGAGGAAACCCATGCAAGCACAGGGGGAAGTGCAGATTCTGCAAGGCAGAAGTGCTAACCACTGAGCCACTGTGCTGCCCAAAATACATATTTGGGAGCTGTTGTACCTACTATAGGGTTTATATTTGTCCATTCAGTTCTAAGATTTACAAACCTGATAGACAGCACAGCCAGGCTGATAAAAACACTTTAGATCGTAGATTGGTGTCCTCTCGTCACTTCCTTCTTCCCCAACCTGCTGACTGGACAATAAAAAAGGAGCAGCAGACTAATAGGGTCAGTCCTCTACTTACTCTGCTCTCTCCTCCTATCATCATGTTCTATGTTTGAACATGAGAGCACTCCCTCTCCCATACTAGGTGCTCCTGCGCAGGAATTGCAAAAGGATGATCATTAATATATAGGTACTTAACCTTACCTTCATTTAATGCTACATTATTGATTACAGAGCTTGTGTGTTATACTGTATATCTTCCAGGAGTTTAGCTTTAGGGACCATTCACACCTTGGGAGCCCATTGCAGTACCTTTATTGCATATGCATTGCATCACGGGGGCCTATTTGTTTGAATGGGCTGCCAACGGATTAAAACTTGAAGCTGCTGCATTTTTGTTAATGTACCCCACCGCAGTACACGGTAGTGTTGTATTGTGCATTGCACTGCAATGTGGGTGTGTTGCATAGCTGCTCAAAATGAATTGAGTTGCACCTCATCACATGCAATGGTAACATGGATATTACTTCAATGTGCTGCTCTGAACGCACCCTTAAAGTGCAAGTCCGGTCTTCGGAAACTTTCAGGAGTAAACTGATGGTACTGTCGGTCAGCCAAATGCTTTCCCCTGTTCTTTGTCCACTCTGATAAAGATATCAAGAGTACAGATCAGAGGCAGCCCGGCCAATCAAAAACCAGAATGCACTGACTGTACACTTGGTCATTGATGATCAGGGAAATAGGTCCGTTATGAACTTTATGTGAATACCATACTTATTAAAAGCTGAACTCTAGCAAACAGCAAAAGATGAAACCCCTATAGGGTATGTTTACTCTTTAGTAGATAATACAGTTAGGTTGCCTTGTGAAATGGAGATCTCTGTTATACGTTACATCGTGTGTCTTTACATATCGCAATCTCTTTTGTCAGAGATATCGCTGCTAGGAATGTGCTGGTTTCATCTACTGACTGCGTCAAATTAGGAGACTTTGGACTTTCTCGGTATATGGAGGACAGTACTTATTATAAAGGTGAGATTTCTGCATTTCTGATTACAGTGACATGGAACTATTGTGTCAAATTATTATAAGGTAAAGTAGATATGAATGGGAGATACAAATGAACATACATTATAGTATCGCTTATAGACATTCACAGAGCAAAAAGAGATGGATTTGTTTTAAAGGAGAACTATGGGGTCAGTGTTTTTCCCCATTGTTCTCCTAAGGGTCACGGGAGGACACAAACTAGCGTTCTCCCGTGACCCAAAGCTCAGTATATAGCGGGCTACAGCTCGCGGTATACTGAGACGCCGCAGCCGGGATGGATCCCGACATTGCTGTCGAGATCCACCCAGCTGCGGGATTGACAGCTGGCTCTGCCTATCCAGAGGCAGAGCCAGCTGTGCCCTCCCCCGTCTGTTCCACCAGTCAGCGCTGGAGGATCGTAGCGGGGAGGGGGGGAATCCCTGCAGGGAGATGATCGAGAAGTGAGTGAGCGACGGTATGCGTTCGCTCACTTCCCAATCTATTGAGCCCACCTGTGACAGTTTAATTGTCACGGGTCGGCATAGATTATAAGGCTGAGTGAAAATCACTGACCTCATAATTCTTTAACTGAAAATGAAGACAAAATATACAGCGACTCATTACAACAGCCAGTTAAATATTATAGACCCATAAACATTGGGTTGCATATTGTGCATAACACATGGTTAAAATCCCAATTAAATGAGTTTTAATTTCAGGTTGTTATATTACAGAATAAGGTCCAAGGTAGATATATAGTTATAAAATGAACTCATGTGTCACAATAGAAAAATTATTTTCACTTTAATTGTAAAACTTTTTTTTTTTTTTTTTTACTAAAACCCTCCTCCTCTCATCCCCTGAACCCAATTCTTGCCGCCACCTTGGTGTATTCCTTAGATATACACCAAGATGGCGGCATCCAACACGCACAGCATCCGTTGACATTATGCGCCCTGACATTTCCCTTTTGAAATAGAAAAAGAAATTGGGGACACAGAGTCTTCAATCTCTTTTTCTGCAGCCTCTGTTCTAAATGAAAGGAAAGCACTCAGTACAGGGGCTTCCCATTCATTCACAAACTGGAGATAGTAAATTTACTATCAACTAGTTATGATTGGTTAGAAGCCTCTGTAGTGAGCTGCTTCTCCCCATTCAGAAACTCATGAATGAACAGGAAGTGATGTAAAGCACTTCCTGTTCATTCATAACTGGGGACATGTAGTAGTATGTGTCCCCAGTTGTTTACAAACATTGGCGTGATCAGCTGATCACTCCACTGTTCGTGCTGCCCACAGAGGTTTGGTAAATATCACAGATATTTACCGATCTTCCCGCCCGGCCATCCTGACCCACTCGGCCACGCACACATCATAGAGCCGCCGGCCATCATGAATCTAACAGCCGGCGGCTCTGCTCACCTCACTGCTCACCTCACTGCTCGGCCATCCGACATGACAGCGCTCCCTCCTGTATGGGCTGGGGCAGCAGGGATCCGAGGAGAAATACAGCGCTGAAGCCAGCGGGGCGGAGGAGGGAGCGCTGTCATGTCAGATGGCCGAGCGGTGAGGAGAGCAGAAGCTGCAGGCTGCGCCCGCCCCGAGGCCGAGTTGTGTCGGCCACCTGGCGCCCCTGTTGCCATGGCGGCCTGTGCGGCTGCACAGCTCGAATACCCCAAAGGCCGGCCCTGTACCCCAGTACTTCCTCTAGCGCCCATTCAGGACTGAGAAGCTGTCACGTAATGCTGACGAGTGCATCTCAGTCCTGGATTACTGTGAACCCATGGAGAGGGGAAGTAGACAATGGCAATATTTTTACCGGGGGGGATTTAATAGTTAAAAGAATTGCAGGTTATGTGGGAGAGTCCAGGGAAGGGGGGCTGATAAATTAGTATAAAAAATACCCTTTAGTCACTCTTCATCGGATTCTCAGGGCTTGTGAATTGTTTTGGTTGCTAAAATAAATGGAAGTGACAAGTTTTATACAGAGATTCATTTGTGTCTTTTCTCTATCTGTACAGCTTCCAAAGGCAAATTGCCTATTAAGTGGATGGCCCCCGAGTCCATTAATTTCCGACGCTTTACTTCTGCCAGCGATGTGTGGATGTTTGGTGAGTCAGAAGCGTTTTACTTTTCTGTTTGTTGGTGAAGGGTGCATTTTATTTTGTCATCAGGTATACATATATCATTGGGTTTTGTATGAGATACATTATTGCAAGTAGGGATGCAGCGCTACTGGTTATTCGGTAACGAGTACGAGTATTTGTGCCGTATTCCCCATTTATATTGCCTGGGAAGCCGGCTCCATACTCCCTCTGCACTGCCGGTCAGAGGGAGATGTCCCTCTGACCGGAAGTTCCGGTAACAGAGGTAATTATCGGAGCATTTGGGCGAGTACTCGCCCAAATACTTGGTATCGGTACCAATACCGATCCTAGTATCGGTGCATCCCTAATTGTAAGACATGCACCACCAATGGAAGACATCCGCAGATGTGGGTGGTGTACTGCCTCAGGGACAGCGAGCGGGAGAGGGCAGAACACTGAGAAATAATACACTTTGTGTGGGAACTGGTGCAACCTGGTTCATATCCTGCAGGGACATTCCATTATTGCCACCAGTAGGGAACCACAGCACCCCAGCCTGGTCCACCAAGAGGGTTATCACACCTTTCAGCACTGGTCTCCCTCTCCCATATCTCTCTCTCTCTCTCTCTCTCTCACCCATCTCTCTCTCTCTTGCCTATCTCTCTCCCTCTCCCATCTCTACTCCTTTGCCTTAAATCAGGGGTAGGCAAACTCCAGCTATGGTGCAACTACTAATCCCATTAGGCATTGCAGGAATCTGACAACCACAGCCATGACTCCTAGAGGAAGATGAATGGTGGGATTTGTAGTTTGACCACAGCTGTTTATATAGCTGGAGTTTGCCTATTGCTGCCTTAAATGAAACAGTGGTGTGAACAAAGCACTTCTGTTTAGGTGAGGAACGTCCCCAGAAGACATGGAGGTCCAGCCATACTCCGCAGTCCATGGCCGGCTTCTCTCCATTTGAAACTCTCTACGGAGCAGACAATTGTTGCTCTATGCCGCAATGTTTTCTCCTTTTGGGACTTCTTAGCATGAGGCTGATGGTTCCTGTCAGCACTGCAAGGGTGACGTTGCTGGTGGTTACCCACAAGTCCTTTTTTTTTTTTTTTTTTTGGGCCGGGTTTTTTTCGGAAATAAGAGGATTTGGATGGAGACATTAAACTTGCAGACCCTGAATGTATAACATAAGTTTGTCCAGGATCACCTTAGAGGACCCCAAACCCAGGTTGCTGCACTATGGCTTATTGTTTCACAAAGAAATAGAGAGCTTGTGGAGGGACAAGGCCAAGTGAAGTCACTATTTCCATAATAAGACTCCCTGGATTTTTTTCCCGCCAGAATGCTCTGAAACCAGGGGTTGGCAAACGCCAGCCCTACAGCTGTGGTGGAACTACAGATACCATGAGGCTTTGCAATGGGATTTGTTGTAGTGCCACAGCTGGAGGGCTGAAGTTTGCCTACCACGGATCTAGAAGAAAGTGGAACCAATTTGCATGCTATTTGAGGTGTCTATACCGATGACGTGTTGGCATGCATTGGACTCATTTTGCAATAAGTTCAACAGCCTTTTCAAATGAAATGGTCTGAACAGTGCCCCCGAAAAAGGGGGCAGGCTGCATTTTATTGCAGCGAACAGGACACCATGCGGTGTAGCTCAGGTGCATTTTGGTAATGCAGTGCGGTACAATGAATGCAAGCTCAGTGCATAAATGCATGTAACATGCGTTACCGCAATGCAATGGTGTGAACAGGGCCTCAGTCTGAATTTTCACAAGTCTACTGTTTGCCTAGTAACAAAATAAAACCCTGCTACCATGCTCTACAGCCTTGGTTCTCAACTGGTGGATCGTGACCCAAATGTTGGTTGCGACCCCGTGTCCAGTGGGATGCCACATGCCTTCCACTTTTCTAGGTGAGAGGCCTCTCAGCCTCCCCCTAGTGCAGCACTGTCAGTTCTCACACTGAGCAGCCATTCAGAATATGATGCCCGGCGCCGAGCGTCGACGTGAGGTGGGATGGGATGGGGCTATTGCCGCAAGGGAGCTCCATCCATACGTGCGCTGCTTACAGCGTATCACATTCTGGCTCTCTGCACCTCTACTGTCGTGCATGGGAGCTGTACAAGCAATACACATGTGGATGGAGCTCCATTACAGCACAGCATTCCACACTGGACCCCAGGCTGAGGATCCACTCCAGTTTTCGTAAGGTAGGGAGTCTGGATGGATCTTAAAAAGAAAACAAATTATGTCTGTGGTTGTGTGTGTCTGTCGGTGTTTTGAGGACCCGCTCACACCAGTACACTGTGTTAATCGTACAGTCCCATGCGATTAACACACTGTACCATGCAATCGCACCTACTACACGTTCTGGTGCCGGAGGTGCATTGCATTGCCATTTTTTTGGACGGCACCCCAAAAGCACCTCCCACCCACAGTTCGATCGCCTGCACCGGAAAGCGCAGTACCACGATACTGTGCGTTCCATTACAGTGCAGACATTGCAGACTTGGGTCGCGACTTAATGACCGAGGGCAAATGTGGCTTCTGAGGTTACACAGGTTGAAAACCACTGGTATAGAGTATACTTCTTCAGCACCCATTCACACTTTTTTCTAGAGTAAAACGAGTTATTTTGAATATGGTTAAATAATAAAAAAAAATGTCGGTCAAGTACATAAAAAATATTGCATATTAATATTGTATTTTCATTATAAGTCAGCAGGGGGAGCTTTAGGCTTTGTTTCTTGTTTCCCAGGCTATCCTTATGTATCATTTCTGGCTCAGGCATGCTCCGCTTTCACAGGCTGATGGGTAATGGACACACTCAGGAGTAAACAAGCAAATCTCTGCATGTGTGGATGACAGTCTGAGCCACGGGCATCCCTTAAAGAATTCATTTCTTAAATGAAGGGAGTCGTAGGTTTTCTTTTTGTCTTAGTTCCTGATAGAGAGCCATTAAAGTTAACCCAATATTCATGCAGGGCAAATAAAAATGTCTAAAACTGCCATTTATTTGGTACTGGCTTTTGTGAAATATAGTAATCAAGGTCACTTAGTCCTTTCTAGGTCCTGTCTCCTGTTTCTGCTATGTTCTGCACTAAATGACAGTTTAGTGCAGAATCTCCTGCGGGATATGTAGCACTGCAGTCACGTGATCCTGACAGATTCAAATCCAAGATGGCGGAGCCCAGGGAAGGCCCAGTTTAATTTCAGATTGCTATTGCTGCAATGTGATTTGCTGTCAGGACAGTAGGGACGACAATGCATTAGTGTAAGCTGGTGAATTTCTCCGGCTCATATTCTCTCGAGCGGCCGGAATGATCGATGGTTGTTAAGAATTGATGCATTGTAGATTTTCTGCAGGAAATGTAAACCATCTTCACATTTACATAAACTCAGAAGGTGCCAACTTCAGAAATAATTCACTTAAGAGGTCACAATAATCCCCGGCTTTGTTTACAGAACATTTCTCTACATGAAATCACCAGAAATGGCCTTTTATGGAGAAAGTCGGAGAGTAATCGCGTCTCTCTTTCCTCCAGTTCATTAGAATTTCAGGCTGTTGGCAGCATCTCTGGGATTTAAAGGGAGCCATTCCAGTTTTCTTTATATAAACTATACAATTGTTTCAGAAACTATTTACTTCATTGCTAATAAAACAAAAAGAAAACCTTTTCAGGGTGCTGTCAGCCATGGATTTCTGTACCTTTCATATTTGTATCAGAATCGGTGAATGCAGATGTCAGACTGGTATCAAGACTCAACAAAGGGCAATTGGGATGTGTAGGTGTCTAGACTCAGCAAAGGAGAATTGGGGTGACTAGACTCAGCAGGGGAGAATTGGGGTGACTAGACTTAGCAGTGGTGAATTGGGTGTCCAATATTCATCAGAGGAGAATTGGGAGGCCTAGACTCAGCAGAGGAGAATTGGGAGGCCTAGACTCAGCAGAGGAGAATTGGGAGGCCTAGACTCAGCAGAGGAGAATTGGGGTGACTAGGGGCAGCAGGGGAGAATTGGGTTCCTAGACTCAGCAGGGGAGAATTGGGGTGACTAGACTTAGCAGTGGTGAATTGGGTGTCCAATATTCATCAGAGGAGAATTGGGAGGCCTAGGATCATCAGAGGAGAATTGGGATGCCTAGACTCAGCAGAGGAGAATTGGGAGGCCTAGACTCAGCAGAGGAGAATGGGGGTGCCTAGACTCAGCAGAGGAGAATTGGGGTGCCTAGACTCAGCAGAGGAGAATTGGGGTGCCTAGTAGACACAGCAGAGGAGAATTGGGGGGACTAGACCCAGCAAAGGAAAATTGAGGGACCAGACCCAGCAAAGGACAATTGGGGGGACTAGACCCAGCAATGGAGAATTGGGGGGACTAGACCCAGCAAAGGAGAATTGGGGGGACTAGACCCAGCAAAGGAGAATTGGGTGGGCTAAACTCAGCAGAGGGGAATTGGGGGGACTAGACCCAGCAGAGGGGAATTGGGATGCCTGGACTCAACAGAAGAGAATTTGGGTGTCTAGACTCAGCTGAAGAGAATTTGGGTGTCTAGACTCAGCTGAAGAGAATTGGGGTGCCAGGGTCTGAAATGCATCTGTTGCCATCAGCTCTTCCAACACTTTTTACTTAAAGTCCCTTCACTGCA